CCGGGGGCGCGGCGCGCTGCCCGCTGTGCCAGGAGCCCTTCCCCGACGGCCTGCAGCTTCGCAAGAACCACACGCTGTCCGAGCTGCTGCAGCTCCGCCAGGGCCCGGGCCCCGGCAAGGGCCCGGGCCCCGAACCCTCGGCGCCCAGCGCGCCGCCCAGCGCCCCCGAGCCTTCGGCTCCCTGCGCCCCGGAGCCGTGGCCAACCCCGGAAGAGCCGGTGCGCTGCGACGCGTGCCCCGAGGGCGCCGCCCTGCCGGCCGCGCTCTCTTGCCTCTCCTGCCTCGCCTCCTTTTGCTCTGCGCACCTGGGCCCGCACGAGCGCAGCCCCGCGCTCCGTGGACACCGCCTGGTGCCGCCGCTGCGCCGGCTCGAGGAGAGCCTGTGCCCGCGCCACCTGCGGCCCCTTGAGCGCTACTGCCGCGCCGAGCGCGTGTGCCTGTGCGAGGCCTGCGCCGCCCAGGAGCACCGCGGACACGAGCTGGTGACGCTGGATCAGGAGCGCGCGCTCCAGGAGGTGGGCGCGGGACCTCTGGCGGACCGAGCCGGGAACCTGCAGGGGGTCACAGGAAGGAGGGCAGCCGGCAGAGAACCTGGAACTCCCTGCCCTTTCCCGGATCGGGTCTTATTTTCCTCTTCCAAACAGTGAGGGTTGTTGGGTTTACCTTCCAACGCTGTGGAGATGGGAAAGGGGAAGGTAGGGACCCAGTGAAAACGGCCAAGGGACGTGAAGGCCGGCAGGAAAGCCGCCCATGGGGCTGAGCCGGGAAGGGACCGGGCTGAGGCCGGCGGGGTAACGGAACACTGGTTCCGGCAGCACGCCCATGCGCTCAGGCTTACGCACGGTCCAGCTCAGATTTGCCCCGGACTGTAGCGGCGGGTTTGGATGGGTGTGGCAGGCGATGGGCTCCGCCGGCGGCAGGACACACACATGCTCTCTGTCCAGCTGTTCCGGGGGGCCAGTGTTGGGAGCATGTGCGCGGCCTGTCCTACTCCGCCCCCAGTTTCCTTTGGCCTCCAGCCGGGCCTTGGCGCCTCTGGCCTTGGGATTTTCCGTCTCTCCTGCCTGGAGCTGTGACTCAAGACCCAAAGGATTTGCCCGGAATCCCCTTTTTCCAGGTCTAGATGGTGGACCCAAACCGTTAGAGGAGTGACCCCCAGGACAGCTGAGTGCGCATTGGTGCAGCCCCCTCTGGCACACCCCCGACTCCCTCACTAGAGGAAGTTTGCAAATGAACTTGAGGCACCTGTCTGTGGGAGCCCAGTGATGGCTCTGACCTTGCCTCATTGGTCAGAGAGGCAGGCAGAAGCCCACCCCAGTCTGTAAGCCCCGTGAGCACTGGGAATGGCACCTGCCTGGGCTGGAGGCACCTCTGCCCGGGCTGCCTGGAGCTGCTCCAGGCATTATGCGACATCATGGGCCCGCCTAGTCCCACCCATGCACAAAGCCCACTCCTGGTCACCCCTCTCATCTCCCTGGCAGGGCCCCTGGTGCTGGGCTGTGGTCTTTGCCAGGTCCTCATGAGGTGTCATTCACAGGCGGAGCAGCCCAAAGTCCTGAGCGCCGTGGAGGACCGCATGGACGAGCTGGGCGCTGGCATTGCCCAATCCCGGCGCACGGTGGCCCTCATCAAGGTCAGAGCCCCCCGTCCCACTCCTGTGGCAGGCTCTTGGGGGGGGTGAGCCCTCAGGATAGTATGACCCACTCCAGGGAAACCACTGGGCATAAGCATTTCCCTGACCTGTCCCTGTAGATCTCCAAGAAGGATGGGCAGGGTGGGGTCAGGCAAAGATGGAGCTCGGGCCTCATGCCTGCCCTCATGGCATCCTGTGCAGAGCGCGGCCGTGGCAGAGCGGGAGAGAGTGAGCCGGCTGTTTGCTGAGGCCGCAACCACCCTGCAAAGGTTCCAGACTGAGGTGCTGGGCTTCATCGAAGAGGGGGAGGCCACCATGCTGGGCCGTTCCCAGGGTGACCTGAGGCGGCAGGAGGAACAGCGAAGCCGGCTGAGCCAAGCCCGCCACAACCTCAGCCAGGTCCCCGAGGCTGACTCAGTCAGCTACCTGCAGGTGAGGGGCAGCTCCTCGGGCCAGAGGGGAACACAGGCTGGTGAGGGCAAGTCAAGTGGAGGGACGAAGGGCCCTGGGCCTCCCGGGAAAGCTGCCCACTGGCCAGGCAGAGAGCATGGCCACGGGGCCTCAGCTGGCATTTGTACAGGAGCTCCTGGCACTGCGATTGGCCCTGGAGGAGGGGTGCGGCCCTGGGCCCGGCCCCCCAAGGGAGCTCAGCTTCACCAAGTCGTCTCAGGCCGTCCGGGCAGTGAGAGAGCTGCTAGCTGCCGCCTGCACCAGCCAGTGGGAGCAGCTGCAAGGCCTGGGCAGTGACGAGGACAGGCTTCAGAAGCTGGGTTCAGAAGGTGGGTGTTCCCCTCACTGAGGTGACTCACCCTCCCTGAGGCTCCCCACATAGGCCCCTGGGCCTGTTGCCTCCCCAGGAGGGGAGAATGGAAACTATGTGCTGTGTGCCCGGCATGGGGTGGGGCCCAAATGCCACCAGTGCCTAGAGACGCCAACGGTGATGACAAGCCAGCCCTTTGCCACAGCCTAGGGGGCAGAGGTGACTTCTCCTCGCCCTCCTCCCAGCTCCAGAGGGGGCTGAGCAAGAAGAACAGCAGCAGGCAGAGCCCAGAGACTAGGGATGCCTGGACCCAGGCTGCCATATCCAGGCGTGTGCCTGTCCCCAGGTGGCCCTGTCCCTGAGAGGAAGGAGGAGAGGGGACTGCTGTCACAGGTTGGGGGGAGCCCTGGCCCAGCAGCCCAGCCCAGGTTCCTCAGCTGCAGCCTCTCGGGCAGCCTGTAAGACGCCCCTCCTGTCTCCTTTTCTGCAGCTGAGGCCGACTCCCAGGACCCTGACAGCACTGGCCAGCTGGAGAGTGAGGCTCCCCGGGATTACTTCCTCAAGTGTAAGTGGACGCCAGGCTCTCGCCTGTGCCAGTCCCAGAAGCAGGCCCTGGCAGAGCCCTGGCACACAGGGGCTTGGACTCCCCTGCCAGTTCACGGGTGGAGGAGGTCAGCTGCTGGGGTAGCCTGCTGTGGGGCTGAGTTGTGCTTTGTTGCAAAGGAGGGACCAGTCCTGCGCTTTGGGGAAGTGGACGTGTGGGGGAGGGGAGTCCACTGAGCCCGGCTGTGAGCCCTGCCTCTCTCTCCTGCCTGTGGGGTCAGTTGCCTACATCGTGGACCTGGACAGCGACACCGCGGATAAATTCCTGCAGCTGTTTGGAACCAAAGGTGTAAAGAGGGTACTTTGTCCCATCAACTACCCCGAGTCGCCCACCCGCTTCACCCACTGCGAGCAGGTGCTGGGTGAGGGCGCCCTGGACCGGGGCACCTACTACTGGGAGGTGGAGATCATTGAGGGCTGGGTCAGCATCGGGGTCATGGCCGAAGACTTCTCCCCGCAAGAGTCCTACGACCGGGGCCGGCTGGGCCGCAATGCCCACTCCTGCTGCCTGCAGTGGAACGGCCGCAGCTTCTCCGTCTGGTTCCATGGGCTTGAGGCGCCCCTGTCGCACCCCTTCTCACCCACGGTGGGTATCTGCCTGGAATACGCTGACCGTGCCCTGGCCTTCTATGCCGTTCGGGATGGCAAGATGAGCCTTCTGCGGAGGCTGAAGGCCTCCAGGCTTCGCCGGAGTGGCATCCCCACCTCGCCCAGCGACCCCTTCCAGAGCCGCCTGGACAGCCACTTCACGGAGCTCTTCACCCACAGGCTCAAGCCTGCCTTCTTCCTGGAGAGCGTGGATGCCCATTTGCAGATCGGGCCCCTCAAGAAGTCCTGCATATCCGTGCTGAAGAGGAGGTGATGCTGGGAGCCAGGCGGCCTCCTCCCCAGGGTCTCAGCTCTGACAGCCTCCTTCTCTGGGACCCATCTTGCCCAAAAGTGGGCACCAGTCCTGGGGTCACTGTCCCCGAGCCTTCTTATCTCCAGAAGCCCCCACCTTGCATCTGCCTGGCCTTCTCGGGGAGGAGGCTCCCCACGCCCCACTGGCTGCCCTTTTCTGCTCCAGTCCTTGTTGAGGGGAGGGAGCCACAGCTGGGACAGGTCTGAGTCACCCCAACCCTCCTATTCTGGGTTCCTAGAACAGGGCCTGGCACACAGTTGTTAGGTACTGTCAAATGGACTCCGACTCATAGCGACCCTGTGTACAACAGAACAGACCCTGTGTACAACAGCACATAGTAGGTGCTCAATAAACATTTGTTGACTGACTGACTTGCTTTTCCTCTACCCGCCAAGGGTTCCCAGGCTGTCGCATCTCTCAGGGGCTGGCCTTATGGACAGACCTGATCAGGGAACAGGGCTTCCTCCCAGGATTCCTGCTGGGGGGTGAGCCCTGGCCCAGCAGGAGGGGCTGTGGCATGGCGTCTGCCCTCTGGGCCAGGAGGTGCTCACCCCAGCCCACTCCTGGTTCTGCAGGAGCAGCCTGAGGTGGCTTCTTCCCGGGGTCCAGCCCCGCGCTATCTTGGCTGCCCATGTGTTTGCTTTGGGTGCCCTGGGTTCCCACCAGCTATTTTCATCCTGAATGCCACAGGCTGGCTTTAGACCCACCCTTTGGTGTCTGTACCCAGGAATAAATGCACACATCACGCTCTCAAGAGCAGGGCAGGACTCCTGGAGGGGGCAAGAGAGTGAGAGAACTGAATCGCCCTGCTTCTCACACTCACACAACTTACACACACTCATGCACTCACATGTACGCACACCTGGACACATACACACTCACACACACATGTACACTCACACACCCTTGCCCCTTCTCAGTCCATGGAGGCACATGGCTGAGACCTCCAGTGTGTGACTGAGGCCTAGATTTCCTACAGAAAAGGGACCCGCGTCATCTGGAGTCGGCCTCACACCTCTGCCCCAACTGTGCGTCAGGACAGTACTTCCGTTCAGGGGCAGGGAGGCTGAGCCCTGCACCCAGCAGGGCCCCTGCTGTTGCTCCAGGGAGGAGTCAGTGCCTTGCGCTGCCCAGAGTCCCCGTCCTCTGGTCGGGAGTGCCATGGCCTGTGTTCTGGTCCCTGGTGCCACTCTGACAACAAATATACCACAAATGGCACGGCCTTAACAAACAGGAGTTTATTCTTAAAATTTGGAGGCTTTAAGTCCAAGTGCAAAGTGCCAGGCTCTAGGGGCTGGGTGAAAGCCCTTCAGCCTTGGGCTTTAGCTCTGCCTCCTGCTCCCAGCCCACTGGAGCTAGAGGCTTTTCTTCACTCAGACAGCTGCTGGCTGCTGAGGCTGCCAAGCCCACGGTGTGTTTGTGTACGGTTGACAAAATGGCACAGTCCCAATGTTACCAAACCACACGGCAGGCCATTAACTCAAGTCCATTGTAAGTCCTAAGGTTGGCAGAGCATGGCAGGCTGCTGAATGATGCCACGGCTACATGCAGGGTCCAAGCGTACCACAAGCTAGAGCCCATTCCCAAGGCTTCTCCTTGTATACAGGAAGCAGACCACATACCCAAAGGCAGCTACTCAGCTGCTTGTGGTAGATCCCACCATGGAGCTGATTGCCAGTCTCATCATGGGGATTAACTACCCCCAGCTGCCCAGCCACTCCACCAGGCCCAGCCAAGTTGACATGACCACCACAGCCTGCTTCTGGAGGTGGTCTTCGTCACAGGGTGAATGTATATCTAGGCCAGAAAACCCCCACCCTTCCTCTCACTGGGTCTCTGTGGCCTGGTTGCACACCAGAGAGGAGCATGCCCCGGAGGGCAGGAGCACACAGGAGCCTCCCAGCACTGCCAGGTCAGCGGGACAACGGGGAGCTGTGCCTGGAGCAGACAGCCGGGCTGTACAAGTCCCGCCCCTGCTGCCCTGCAGCTAAAAATAGCCCCTCCCAGCCCAGGCTTTCCCCACCAGGATGTTGTTTTTCCGGGCAGGGCCTCCTTGCTCCTCCTGCTTTGTTTTTCATACCGTTCCCTTGGTAGCTGCTACCACTCAGTAGGAGCCTGCTGCGGCCTCCCAGAGCCCCTGGCCACCTGCTGTGAGCCGCCTCTCTCACAGAGCTCTTATTATCCCTGTTCCTGCCCTGTCTGTCCCCTCTCACCCAGCTCCCCACTCCCTACTCCACACACTGCCCTTGCCAGGAACCGTTGTCCAGCCCCAACCTAGCAGAAAGCCCGGTGTGTCTGGAATGGAATGTGAGAGAGACAGGGCCTGTACAGTCTCATCTCCTTCCTGGAATTCAGGCCTGACCAGTCACGTCGGTGGGCACAGTCGTCCCAGAACTGGCAGGGTGTTGGACAGCCTCCAGAGACTCACCGACCCGGTGAAGGAGCACCTCTGTCCCCATGTCCCGGCTTCACAGCTCAGGGGCCTCTAGGCCGGCCGGGTACACAGCTTGTGAGGCACTGGGTCTGCCTGACCCCGCATTCAGGCCCCAGGCTGCAGTGCTGTCCCCTTGGAGGCGGCGTGTCTCTGTGCCTGTCTGTCTGTGTGTTTGTGTATGTGATTGTCTGCCATGCCTGTGTGGGCATCTGGCCCAGGGATTTGCACACATGCTCTGAGAAGATCAGGTTCTGAGGAGGTGAACTGAGGCAGGCAGGCCTCAGAGGGGGGAGGGAAAGCCAAGGGGACTGTCTCCTCACTGCCTACCAACACTTGCATCTGAGCAGATTGGATCTGTTTTATACAAGACTATTTGGGGAAAAAGGGAACTTGTTAAAATAGTTAGAAATGACTGGTGTAGTCCAAATCTCCTACTGTCACCATTTTACAGATGGAGAAACTGAGGCCCAGAGAGCGTATGTCACTCTGTGCCTCGGGTGTGTCCTGTGCTTGGAAATGTGTGAAGATGCACACATGCTCACACACACACATGCTCACACACGAGAGACAAACACATTCACACCCCCATCCACACTCACACTCACAGAGACACAGATATCCATTCACACACACACATGCTTACACTCACAGACACAGTGCACACACACATTTACACACACAAACATATGTTCACATCCACATGCATGCTCACACAGCCAAGAGACATATGGACACATTCATTCACACACACAGGCTTACACTCACAGGTGAGACACACGCACGTTCACACATACGCTCACACACGTTCACAGACATATACCCACAAATTCACACACTCACGTATACTCTCACATATCCACACACATTCACACACTCACACACATTCACACATGTCCACACTCACACACTCAGACATACAAACCTCCCACACACCCTGCTTCTGTGCGGTCTCCTGGGTTAGGATGCCCTCTGCTAGGCCCCGCCCACCAGTCACAGACAATGGCTGTGGATGTGTGTGTGGATGTGTGTGTGGATGTGAGGGAGAGAGGGACAGAAGGGGCTCAGAGACAATGCTATCAGCTGAACCTGGCTCCTTTGGGCCAGGCAGGGAGCCAACCTCCACTTGAGCTTTGTTTCTGTGGGAAAAGGAACTCTGAGCACCACACAAGCAAGCCAGAGACAGCCTTCAACTTCCCCCCACTCCTTGGCAGCTGTGGACCAGCCAGGCCTGCACCCTCAGGGTTCATACCAGCTCCTCCACTCCAGAAGGTGGGGGACCAGGCCAACGGTCCTTTTCCCTCCTCTCTCCCCCACCCCCTTCCCCTCCCGAGACCCAAGGAGCTCTCGCAGAAGTGCCACTCTTGGCCCCCTTCCTCCCAGGCAGAGAGGGAGAGGCTGGCCCGAGACTGGCTAACAGGAGGGCCAGGCCCCAGGCCAGAAGACGGGGCTGCACTGGGAGGGCCTGGGGTTTCCAGCCGCCTTTAATGAGCCTGGGCTTGTTTTTGTCCATGGGGAGAAAAACAGCTTTAAGCTGCGTCGTCCTATTCAACCCCACACCCTATATCCATCATGTTCAGTGCCAACAGTCAGAATCTGAACAGGATACCGCTCCCTTCTGTACAGTCCCATCTTCCGGAAGATGCCGTGGGTGGGCCTCGCAGGCTGTACCGTGGGTGCAGGGACCCTCAGCCTCCTTCCCAGCTGCCTTGGAGAGGGGCTGGAAAAGGCACTTGCACCCTGGATGTAAGCTCCAGATAGGCAGGAAGTCTTTGAAGTCTTGTGTACTTTCTCTTTAAATGACATTCAAAATTTTCATTTTGCTCCAAAAAGTCTCTGGGTTTGATTTTATGTGTGTGTATATAAATGTATATGTGTATATATATATATATGTATGTATATATACACACACATATACTATACACACACACACATATACACACAAAGCTTTTCTGCCCCAGCATCGGAGAGTAGCTTTGGGCATTAGTCTGGAATCGGAAAGCCTTGGCTAAAAATGCCACTTTTTAATGCCATTTCCTAGCTGTGTGCCTTTGGGTAAGTAACTTAACCTCTCTGTGCCTCAGTTTCCTCACTTGTAAAATGAAGATGAGAGGAGGACTGAGCAGTGTGCTCTGAGGATCAAATGAGAGAACACAGGCAGTGTTAAGCACAGGTCCTGGCCCAGAGTGAGCTTCCATAAACGGTATTATTATTGCTTTTCCCCTAAATAGTTGAGTGAAGTTGACAAGTGGAAGTCGGAAGACGTGCCAGTCCATGGGGGATCCCCAGATCTGATTCTCAGGAGTCAAGTTTAGCCCAGACCTAAGTTTGCCAGGACATCACCTTTTGGCTGCTAAGATTGGACACTTTCCCATATTCGTGCAACAGTATTTATTCATTGAATGTCAGGCACTGTGCTGGGGATAGAGCGGTAGGGGACCCAAATGGAGGTGCCCTGCCCTCCCAGGAACCACACAGAGGCTCCTGAGTGTCATAGCTGTTGTTGTCATGTGCTGTCGGTGCTGGAGGC